GCCGTTTGTTTTCGTTCATAAACATCGCTTGCAGGAGTACTCAAAATGCCGCGCGTATGAAACGCTTTTTAACATTACACATCGTTATAAAACCATGAAATAAAAAAATAAATAAAAAGCATAAATTCTTTATTATGTTGAAACGTAATTTGGCGCTTGTCAAAAGTGAGAACCGGCTGGCCGTATAGGTGATTTTGGAAATTTTTTGAACGGTTTTGCTAAAAGCCCACGCGTGCTTCGTACGGTTCTGAATATTGAATGAGTGCAATATGTCTTGAAAAGCTGAGACATACTGCATTTTGTCCCGAGGTCTGTATGATAAAAACAGCGCCTCATATTACTGTTTCACCTCAAATGTGATGTATAAAAAGTATGAAATGTTGGTTTACACGCACCCAGCGTTGTTGGCAAGATTTTGTTAGGTAAACTTGTCCAACGCAAAAAATACGGCCTGATTTGTTTTCCAAGAATTCGTTTTCCAGGCCTAATCTACTGTGATCAAGAGCCATTATGGCTCTTAAAAGTGGTCGTAGATGATTGCTATATTTTGGGTGTACATATACGGCTGTCAATTCGATGTAAGACTTTTTTTCACTCTAAAATCACTTAGCCTTAGCTTTCCCTAAAAAGTCACATATGTGCACTCAAGTTAACTGATTTGTGGATTACAAGTTTATTTTTTGATTTATATGATAAATTTATTAATGGGAGCTTCGCTTTTAGCCGTGGCTAAATCTATATATTTAAGAAAGATACATTGTAAAATAAATTATGGTCAAGCCAACAAACAAAACCAGAATAGAAAACTGAAACTTTAGATTGTGTTAACTACTGATTTACAGCAATAGATCAGAAATTCGTGGGCATTTTTGAAAATCTTTACAATGAAAGGTATAATTGACTACACGTGAGGTAAAGTTCGGGTATGTGTGTGTGCTTTCCCGTGCTTACTTTCCGAGTGTCTTAAATAGCCGGTACAAACAAATAATGATTAGTACAAAAAAAGATATTTTATGAAAGAGACTCAAGATGGGTCGGCATACTGATGACGAAATCTCACTTGCATGATCAGTTATCATCACTTGATCATTGCATGATGGCGGTCTGATCTTTTGTTGTGCCGTGTCGAATATATAGCGTGTTATAATATGTTATTCTTCGAAGAAGGACAGATGTTTTAACGCCATGAAACGCCTTACTTTGTCGTTGTTCCCTGTAAAATTTAACGTACTACTGAGAGTGGAGATCGAAGTTTGCCCGTTGTGTTTCTATCATCGATAATTTGAAGTTCAAACCCTTTGTAAGGGAATCCCAATTCCGGAACCCGGAAAATATTTGCTTGCGCAGAATCGGGAATCTGGGAAATTTTTGCTTATGTAATCCGAATCCTGTGGTTTGGAATCCGGAATACAGCTCAAGGAATCCGGAATCCCACCAACGATTGGAGTCCGGAATCCAAGTTCCACTGACTAGAATCCGGAATCCAGTACCTAAAATCCTGAATCCACGGCGTGGTAGCCTAAGGGGAGGGGGCTAGTACATGGAATCCAGAATCCAAGACTGTTCTAGGTTCCCTCACATGGGCGAAACAGGCAAAAGTGGTGCAATAAGGGTTCTTTGGTTTTTCAAGTTTTAGTAGACTAAGATCATCAACTTACTTGACATGCGAAAACGTGATTTTGTAACAAAGCAAGATTGCCGCAAAATGCCGCTTAGTTGCATGTACTATTTTTTTTCCCTTTTTATCCTTTCTTTTCCTGATAGTGAGGTTCAAGGTTTCCCCAGTATGTTGTCCACATCACTCTTCGTCGTCATGGTTGTGGGTCTAATTTCCGTCGGGAGCAGCATGGTCTTTAAAACACAAAGATCTGTTTACGAAATAGCCTGGAGGTGCACCAAAGCTGGCTGGGACGAAGACGTTTCTGCACTGACGTCAGGAGCTGGTCCCAACGAGAATGAGATGCTTGAAGCTGCATGCACATATTTGAGAGTAAGGCCACCTTAATAATTTGATCTTGGCGCCATACTCATATGTATTGAAGTTTGACTCAAAACAGCTTTAAATTTTTTGGTGAATTTGTATTTAGGATCGAGTAGCCGAAACATTTTTCTAGACTGCGCAAACCTTACAAGTAGTGTGCTCTCCACACTTGCATCCGTCTGGTGAACATTTTGTTTGCTTGTTTGTTTGTTTCTTTTTGATAAAAAGCAGTAAGCGAATATACATTAACACTGCTTCAAAGACGGCCTTGAAATGAGGAAGCTTACTCAGTTTAAAGGTGATACGTCCAAAGAGAGCGAAGATATGGCCGCTTAAAGTTGTGGAATTTTACAGACGATTATTTGATCAGGGGACGCTAACTTGGATCCCCACTATACAAACATCTGTAAAATTCCGAGACTTTGCAAAGCTATATCCTCGTCAGTTTTCAACAATTCGCTTTCAAACTTGACAGCTTACTGATTTTAAGGCGTTCTCTCCAACTGCGTCGTTAAATTTGAAAAAGGTTTTATTCAGCAAGCTGTCAATTTGTATCTCTCGTCTTAATCTTTTCGCAGCATTTCTCTTCGTGCATCTTGAACACAAACCCTGATGACTACTCGTCCCCAACCCCCAACTTTGTCCACTATATGGTGGCTCATCATTGGCAGCTTATGGTCTTTTTCGACAAAACAGGACTTTGCAAAAAAAAATTGCCACTTGACGATATGAGGAAAATTGCAGTGGAATCTGGTATGTTTCCAGACTGATTCATTCCGGCTTTTGAAACATCCTCGTTCTTAATTTGTTTCTTTTTCCAATATTCTTTAAATATAATCTATAATTATTGACTCACTGTGATTGCCCCGGCAAGCGGCGATAGCTTTGCAGCCGATCATCGCTCCGGCTACATATAAATATGTTTATTATTCATTCAAAATATTTCCCCGATTCTGATTGGCTAAATGCACACACATAATTCACCATAACCAGCCACTGATGACCAAATTTGGAAGAATTTTGAGATTAATCAACCGATGACGTCACAAGTACAGCTTCCTTACAGGTTAATGCACCTTTAACCGAGAAGACCTGGGGACGAGGTTGAGTTGCTTTGGTTGTGAAAACAAAAATGGCGGACATTTCATTCGTTCCAAGGGTGAGAACTAGGCGAGATAATAGCTAAAAACATGGCAAGAACAGCAAGAAGACAACTCGAAGGGCGACATCTGCTAATTGGAGAATAATTGCGGAGCTGAACAAACCTGAACGTGGACTATCGAAGATGAACTTAACATCGATGGAGGTAAGCATGTTTTAGCTATGTTTTTAAACTTGAAATTATTTTGAATGAATAATAAAACAATTACTACCTTTCGTATCATATGAAGAATTATGGATTCAGCCTCATTCATTAATTGTCAAATGTAATACATAAAGTAAAAAACAAAAACAAAAAACAGTTGGCAAACCAACACCTCAAGAACTCTGCACTTGCGTATCGCATTTTTGGTACATTGCCTTACAGTTCTAATTTCATGTTTTATGCTCGATGTATATAATCACAAGACGGCTATTCTCTCTTTTTTCTGGATGGGGTCCTTAAGAATTCAACTTCAGGTAAATTCAGGCTACATTTGACGCCGGAATTAAACGAGATTGAATAATAGCTCGATGGAGTTTAAAACGGCTGGAATTCACTTTTAAAGTGACGCTTTCACTTCCGTCGCTGTTATAGTTGCTTTTAAATAAGCCCTCTTTTGTTGATCTCTCTTCGAAGATGATTGATACCTGTTTGATTTTAGGAATAATGGAAAAAGAAGAGCTACCTAATCTTGGTAAGTATAGTTTTTTTTTCCAATAAAACAAGAGTCAAAATTCAACAAATTCTCTCCATTTAGTCTTTCTAAAATGCTGAAAAACACATTGCATTGTGAGTACTGCCAAAGTAGGTTTCATTTCAATGGTCACGCCAAAGGACATTATCCACAGACTCAAACTGGTTACTGTAAAGTTAAAACAACTCCATGATTCATTCAGGCCGAGGAAGGGTTAATTAATTGTTCAGCTACCCTTATCGACTTATGGAGCAAGGGGTGTGCTGCAGTATTTAATGAGAGTACTCGCCTCCCTAAGTAACGAGGCCCGGGTTCAAATGCCTTAGTTGCTGGTGTTTCACCCTTACTTGGAGAGGATTTATTTTTTTCAAGGTCCTCCGTTTTCCCCCTCTTCTCAAAAACCAACCCGCAGTTGTAAATTCCAGTTAGACCTAGGAATGCTAGATGACGAGCCAATTTGTAGATGTTCCACAGCCGAAATTATTTAAATCATAGAACAAAAAACACGCAAACAAACGTAGAAACTGTTATTCTTTACGTCAGGCAGGCTGCAAACGTGATGCAAAATGATGCTTTCTTCGACAGTACTCATAATTAAATGCATGAAACCGCCTTTACCGGCCAGGACGCAAGATGGTTAATGTTAGAAGGACAAATTTTAGCAACGGACATTTAGAACTGAATGAAAATAATAAAAAAATAAAGGCTAATAAGTAAATTAATAAATAAATAAAGAATTAGAAATACCTTTTTTTTTTCACGTCCCCAAGTATAGAAAAGGCAATTGAAAGTGTCTACTGTAATGACCGAGCGCGGAGGTCTAATTTTGGCGCTATTTCACGTTCATATTTTGACATTGCGTTGTCTTTGCTAAATCTGCCTTTCCAAACACAGGGACTCTAGTTTTTTATTTGGTTACTGTGTACGCGAACACAATGTTTCAGGGACGAGAATAATAGGCCATTTCCGAGTTCCCCCGGGGCTCTGTATCAAAACGAGGTTAAGTGCTCAGCCTTTGATATGGAAATCATTTTTCGTTCCCATGCAAACGAAACTCACTTTCAAAAGAAAGGTTGTGCACTTGGCCTAATGATTTTAAAAGTGAGAATTTTTGGAACTCGGATTGGCTAATCATAATTTCTGTAAGCCTAGTTTTTAATTGCTTCTTCCTGGTTTCAGAGATGGATAGCTACGAGAAATGCGCTGGAGATGCCTTGCGGGCATGCACGATCAGAGAAGAGGGCCTGATGAATCAAGGGACATCCGACAATTTTCTTTCTGCAATAACCAATTATATCAAGTGTTTTAAGGAGCAGGGCAAAAGCTGTAACGCAGCTATCTTGCATCACATGATTACCATTTATAAAGTGTACAAAAAGCACCTGGGAGAGAAGAAAGGGGAATTCGGAAAAATGGTCCATAAGATATCACTGCCCGATTAATAATCATGACTAAATACTGTTAGACCTTCATGAAAGTCTTTTATATTTAAATCGGTGTTGACAAGATCATAACGGTGAAGGGCTTTAGTAAATAAATTTAGTGTTTTAATTAATGAACACATTCTGGATAACGCATAAAAGCAGGAGAAATGATAGACGAGACTGAATAAAAATATGTGTGCAGTTACTTAAAAGAATTTTTTGCTGGTGTCTTATCCCGTGCAGGTCAATTGAAATATACATAATATGAATTCAATGGACCCTCTCCTTTAGGACACCCCTTTTCAAGGGACACCTCCTTTCAGGGGACACAAAATTGGTCCCGGAAAAATGGTAACATATTCCTTGTATCTTTGACCTCTATTTAAGGGACACCTTTGTTCAGGGGACACTTTGCTTGGTCTCGAGGGTGTCTCCTGAATAGAGGTTCCACTGTAGATATTTTGAATAGAATCGCATAATTAAGTACAATCTCGCGTTCTGATTGGTTAACGAAGCGAGGTATTTAGTGTGGAATTGCGAGTTGAAAACGAGGCTAAGCGATATTGTTTCGCATCTACGTAACAACTATCGTCAAATTCTAACACAACAACATGCAAAAAAAGTTTTCTACAATGTCATTTTAAAATGTTTTCAAAACCATTCATTGTCACTTTTTGAAGAGTTAAAAACAAACAAAAGCGTTTTTTAAAGTGAGCCGGAGGTTCTTCCTTGTTTTGAACTGAACTACAGATTCTCGAAGAGAGATAAAACCTCTTTCACTCGCGACAACGAGAAAACAAGAAAATCCTGTGAACACGGCCCAGAAAATGGCAATCCAAAGTTCAACCAAACAAAACGGAGAAGCGACAACGGAGGAAGTGCCAGGGTCGATTGTCCCATATACAGAAGAAGAAATAGATACCTTCAAAGAGGACATGGCCCCTGAAAACACGAAAAAGAGTACGCCGCTTGCAATCGTCCTGAATCGTGGTACTTAGAAAAGTACAAAACAGAGCTGAACTTGAACAGCATTTCTAAAACATTTCAAGGTACTTACCTTATGTCAATCGCGACGTTAAACATGTTAAACTTTCAGTGCTTTCGCTTGGACACTTGATTTCTTTCAGTTTTGCCGCCGAAGAGGTGGAAGGTGTAAATTATTTGCCTTCTCGAGCAAATGACCAATTTGAAAAAAGACGTTCTACATAAACGGCTTCTAAATTCAGTAAAATACCTCTATTTATCCTTACGATTAGTGTGAAGCTTGTTTACATGTAAAAAAGTTTGAAAACAAATGTAAAAACAAGCACAAGGTAGAAAAAAAGTTGTCGAAGGTTCAAACGTGTACGACTGACCTTGCTTCCTATTCGCTAACGCAATGACAGTTCTGACAGTTGACTTTGAAATGGCTTTCTGGAGCGCGCGCTCAGGATAAAAACAAACAATATTATTGCTTTTGTCTTTTTTTTTCTTCTGATTTTTATTCAATTATGCGAGAATTCCACGTTAAATTGCACTTGAAAACCGATATCGCACTCATCGCTTCGCGATTCGTGCGATATCGGTTTTCGCGTGCAATTTAACGTGGAATTCCCTCGTCAGGTAATGAATTTTCCTATAATATATGTAGATGTGGTGGCGAGGCAGTCCAAAAAACACCACAAGGCTCAATTTTAACTGATTATTTCATCCGTCATTAGTCACTTTAGTGGCATGAATTCGAGAATAACAGGATAGCGCTGAAAATCACTCCTAAAATCACTGATAAAGTGCCGGGTCCCTATTAAATATCAACATTGTTATCATCTTTATCATCATCATCATTATGATTTTCAATCACTTTATCACACATAGTTGTATAGCTTTCACGTTCAAGGTGAAAAAGATTCAAAATTTCTTGGAACTAAGCTGTTGTACTGCTAAGCGGGAACTAATAGGCCATTTGCACTAAGAGGCATGTGACATCGTTTTTATGAAAATGAAAGTTACATGATTTTGCCTTCGAAAAACGATTAGTGGGTCATATCTTAAACAAAGTAGTAGTCATTTGGTTTTCAAACCCGCACCATTTTCTTAAAATGAATAAGTTCGTAAATGGTCACGTGACCAAAATGTGTTTTTTAAAATTATGAATTACCTCTCTCTGAACACAAATTTTGCACTAAACTTCAAGGAAAATGTTGAAAAGATGATGTGATAACATTTACAGCACATCTGAGCGTAACTATGAAACGTTTAACAAGATATAAGCAAGAAGTAGTTTTGTCCGCCATGTTGGAGGGCAAAAGCATGCCCTCCAACATGGCGGCCAATACAAATCATACTACTTCGCTGAAAAATCAAAGTGCCATAAAATATCTCCCTTAAGTGCGTTTCCTCTCAAATTTCGGGTGTAAGATAATTTTTATGTGCTCTGACAATTTTTGGCATCAGCAAGATTCCAACTCATTGCTTAAAGGAAGCATTGGTCACGTGACCTCTTAGTGCAAGTGGCCAATTGTAAACTTAAAAACGAGGGAGACGATTGGAAAACACTTTTTTACGCATATGAACGTTCAGTAATTTTGGTAATTAAATGCCGTGCAACGATGTGATCCACTGGCTTTTGTAGGAAATTTTTTTTTAAGAAATTTTCCACATGGTCTCACACCCGCTTCGCTTATGAATAGTTGTGCTTTAGGACGAAAGTTTATGTCTGTATTAGAGGAACTGGTGAAAAAAATATTTTGCACATTGCTTCATAATTCAATTTAGGAACGTTTTTAAGTTGAGAAAGCCAAATCATTTGATATTAGCCTGAGGGGAAGTCTTTGCCCAATTGATGTTTCGTCCATGGGGTGATTTATTTGACCAACTGCCTCTCCGCTTTTAGTTCATATTGTCGAAAGTATTAATAAATTTACAAGTTAATGTAGTTGTACCTTTTTGAGTCTTTGCGAAAAATTCTTTGATGTGCCATTCAAATCGGGAAGCCCGCGAGCAGTACTTTTGCTTGTCACAATTTACTTTTCAGTATTAAAAAAAGGGCGGAATTTCATGCCTGAATTTTTTATAAGTGCAGGCCTGTGGGTAATTAAAATTATTAAATTTATGCAAGGAAAAGGTCCCTTTTTGTCTTTTCCTTGTAGAGTCTCGAGTCAATTTTTTTTGTGGAAAATGCTTGTAATTCTTTTTAATACATTTACCGGCAAGATATCAATGGCAATACCTCAAACAGTAATTTAAAAAGGCTTCATTTATCGTTTTCTCCCAAAATCTATTTACTTAGTAAACATAGATCGACAGCTGAGAGTATTTTTTAGAGACAGTGTCAATGTCAAAGCTGAATGTAAACTGAAATGTTGTTTTAAAACATAAACTAACGCTCATAACACGATAGCTTCATTCAAGCTTCCATCCTACTGTTCCTGCTCAGGTATGTACAATGTTTCTCTTACAATCACTAAGAAATTAGCTTACTGGATAAACACGAGTTTTTGTTAGCAGAGCGGTTTTTAATCTGTTGTTTTGCAGCTACAGGACCGACCTCGATGACGGTTTTTCATAACAGATATGTGGGTTTTTAGAATGAAGATGATGTGAACTGTAGAAATACAATTTTCAATGAAGATGTGATCGTCACAGTGGTAATTGCAATTGCAGGTAGCATTAGCTTATCTAGGTGGAACGGTCAGTCATACTATAAACAATACAATTAACTAGATTTAGAAAAAGGAGACTTACATTTAACATAAAAATTTACCCCTTGTTCTTTTCGTATTATTTTAAGCTTTTTTGACTTTTGATTGTTTATTCTCTCAGTTTGAAAGTTTGCTTCAATTAAAAAACCTATGCTTTCCGCACTGTTTTGAAACGAAAAGGCCGGGCTGCTGGTTCGGTGTGGATAATAGGTAAAGCTTAGTCAGTTAGTAAGAGCTTAATAATTTGTGGTTCACGACAAAGTTCTCTTGCATTCTAGCTTTTTAGGATATGATAACAAAGGACAGGGTATTTTTTAGGATAAGGAAAAGTCATTGTAACCGACAGCAAAGTATCTTTGTCACTCAGATATCTTAAGTGCAGTATTGTCGCCCTTAAATATATCGTTGCTGACTTGTTTTTAATTCTTTTTTCAGAGTTTCTCCAACATGTATTTTGCGACATTCTCCGTCATTGTTGCTGTGGTTTTAGTATCTGTTGAAAGCAGTACTTTTCAATACAAAAGATATCGATCGGCTTATAGCGCAGCCTTGAAGTGCACTAAAGCTGGATGGGATGCGGACGTTGCTGCACTGACATCAGGAGAAGGCCCTAGTGACGAGGAAGAGATTCTCGAAGATGCCTGTATTTATTTAAGGGTACGAATTACAAAATATTGTTATTAATATGTAGCAACTAGTCTTGTTATCTTTAGTTTCCTTCTTTCCTCATAAGATGAGAAAAACATATTAACCTTCGATGGCGTTTGAACCGATCAGTCAGTTCGCACGAAATGAACACGAATTTTAAAAAGCTCTTGGTTGCAGTGATCGATTCACGTGATTTTTCTTGAACTTTATGGATGGGTCAGTGTGGTTGAGAAAACAAACTAATCAACGACTCGTTCAATGAGCCCTTTACCTTTACAGGAATTTGCACGTTGCATTATAAATACAGACCCGGCTGAGTACGCATTACCAGTTCCCAATATCGTCCACTTCTTGGTCGCTTATGAATGGCAGCATCTGTATATAGCAAAGAAAGCTGGGCTCTGCGATAACATGCCGACAAAGGGTCTGAAGAGGATCGCAGTGAATTCCGGTATGCTACAAGGAAGGGGTAGGAGAAGGGGCGCGGGGGGGAAGGGAGTCACTGGAATTGTTGGGTTTCAGACGTGAGACATGCTGTATGATTTTTTGCACAGATTGAACATTTACTTCTGTGAGGCTTTTAGTATCATGGGATATTGCGGGGCTGCTAAGGATCTGTAACATAATTCGATACAATATAGCCGCCAAATTAACTAAAAAAATTAATACATATAGGTTAATACCGTAGTTTAAAACCTATTAAAGCATTAGGGACCTTTAGATTCTGAGACAAGAACGACTACGAGTACGAGCTTTTCCCAATACTGAGTATTGGTCACGCGTGAACCATGCAGCGTCATTGTGGCGGGAAAACGTGATAGCCGTCGTCATCGTACTACTAGTTTTAGCGAGAATAGAGACCTACCGATCCGACAACGGCTACGTTCATGAAAACTTCGCGGAGAAATAGACTACGCATCCTTACACACCATTTCGCGATTATCCCAAGTCGCCCAGTTACTTAAAAGAAGGGAATTTATAGTGGAGCTGAAGAGAGGGGGCCGCGCCAGAGTTCAGACAGAGATGGCAGACTTTATCGCCTTGCCGTTCCTGTCCTCAAAAAAATTTGGTCATTTCACGTCGTAGTCATGCAGTGACGGCAAAGAAATGTACAAAAAAGCGTGATGCTCGTGCAGAATTGTTGTTTTGCTAACTAAACCTATTGCTTTTTGAAGTTGCCGTCGCCTTCGTAGTTTCGTAAGGTCCCGAATATCGTAGTGGCGGGAACGTAAAATAAGAAGTTTTATCATTCTGCTACCGGGACAGGGCTTAACCTTCTTCTGTATAGATAACCGTACTAACTTTTTTGGTGAAAAAAAGTAAATAGAAGCTTTCCAGCGTGTCTTTTTTCTTTAGAACACACACAAAAACTTTAAGTTAATTCTAGTACTCGTACTCGTCCCTAAATCTAAAACTCTCTGTTCTTATGCTTTAGGTGAAAATAGGTTATGATTTAACCCGTTTTTAAACTACAACGCAAACTTGCATTGTTGCAAAATAATATATAACACAGGCGTTGCACCCTGCAACTAGGAATGCAATATCTCGTAACCACAGCAACTGACTTCTCCCTTATTCTCCATTTTTGTCAGAAGAATCTAATTTGTTGATGTTAAATGATCTCTCTTTTAAGGTATAATAAGAAAAGAACATTTGGAGAATGTTGGTAAGACGTTTCATATTATATTCAGGGCAACTGACATAATGAAACTTGGTACAGTGCTGGGTTTCTTGCAGATGGAAAAAAGTTTTGAAAGCAAATTGATTATTTATTGTAAATTTATGGTGATCAAAGTGCATGGAGTAAAGAGAAACTAACTGTTGCCAATATGGCTCTTGCTGTTGCACAAAGTTAAAAAGAAAAATAAGGTATAGGATAAATAATTCCCTGAATTAATATTACATCTTAGTATCAAAAAGTCAACTCTCTATCAAAAACAGACGCCGTTCGGATCAAGTACAGACTGAGGTACACTATTTGGCGAGTCAAAAAGGGGTCTTAAAAGAAAGGCGGGTTGTAAGGACCAACTCCAGGCACCATGGTATATTTTTGTATCACGGAAAGCCCGATGGGAATACCTGACAAACCAGGCATTTCTGATTAAGATGTTCTAGTCGAAACCTCAGTCACCAGACTTTTCAAGGTAAATTTCAACCAGGCTTACCTCAAAAGCTTGGTAAAACCAGGTTTAACAAGACTTTCAATTTTACTTTTTATCTTCAAAAGCCTGATATGTCTGTATAAACCATGGTTTACCAGGCTTACCACGCTTTCAGCTAGGCTTTGTTACAAATGTTGACTGTATTTTGCTTTCGGAATTAAGGCTAAATACACTCTTAGTGTAGCTTGTACATTTGCCCTTGAATTTTACACATCACTTATTTTTTCGAACAGAAAATGACGAATTCGCAAAGTGCGTCGGAGATGCGATGCGGAAGTGCATGATGAGAGCTGAGTACCTGATGAAGAAAGGAATTTCGCAGGATTTCTTGGCCGCAATGACAGATTACATTACATGCTATGAAAAGGAAGGTTACAACTGTGACAAAAAGATGATGCGCGACTACGTTAACATTATGAAAGCCTATCGGAAGCATCTGGAGGAAAAACATGGGGAATATGGAAAGATGGTCAACAAGATAGAACTGATCAAGACCTAGTAAAGATTACGAGATGGTCCTTCATGTAGCCTCATCTGATTTGTGCTATTTAATATAATGAAACACTGAGTGATTAAAAGTCTTACCCTTCAATGAAAGGGATTAAAGGAACAAACAAAATAAATTGCAGTAGGAAACAAATCAGTTTTTACAGTTTTACTTATTCATTTACTTTTTAGTAACTGTACCTGCTAGAATCGGTCTGTGACCCTTAAACACCAGGGGGCGGGGTTGGGGGGAAGGGTACTCAAAATCTTTATACTGGGAGGCTCTGCCCCTACGTCAAACCCCTTTCCCCTTTACATAATATTTTTGATAGAAAATTAGTCTCCCTTTCGTGTTCCATCTGCTGACAAATAGCATCCATTTTACATACCTAGTTTCGTATTTTTCATCCTTTTAAGCAGCTGTAAATGCAGTGTCTTTTAAACACGAATAAATAACAAGACCAGAACGTTTTCTCGTCTCTTTCACAGCCATCAAATGCATCTGTTAGCCATTTGGGCCTTTTAACAGACCGAAATGAACGATTTCCCTATTAAACTTTCATTTATCTGAAAATAAAGGTACCCCTTCCGGGCGAAGCCTTTCGCTTTAGGCCATTATGTGGAGTTATAACAAGCCCCCTGGGTCCTCAAGCTGTTGCATTTTTCAGGGTAGAATCAGGTTTTTCCTGTTTTGCAACCTGGATGTAGCTTAATGACAGGCGTTTGACCACTTTTGCATGGCAGTGTTCCATTAACAGACTTCTGGTAAAGAAAAATGGGGTAACTTAAAAATAGCCCTACTGAATAACTTTGGGTGAACAACTTGCGTTTAAGTTAGGTCACCATTTCTCAGACCGGAGGCGGGGGCAGGGGGGAGGGAACACTTTTTGGAGCCATTCCCGCAGCTTTGAATTTGAATGAACTTTAAAAACTTTCACAAGCTATGACTACCAAATCTATACCGCCTTTTCCTTGGAAACATTTCTAGAATACCTAAGGTGACGTTTACGTCAACACTGAGGTTTCTATGGCTGCGACTTTTGACAGCAGTGCGTTGTACAATTTCCAATTATAAAATGATTGAATTTCCAATTATAAAATGATTGAAAAATTAAAAAGTATTTATATTTTTCCCGATTGATTTTTACGTTACACGTCATGAAGTTAGTACAGATAACTAATTCAACTTACTGTAATGTAATTGTGGTTTTTCTGGTATTTAATTATTTGAGAAAAAAGCGTATCTATAAAATGACAAAATTATGCTGAGTTGAATTTTCAACTTTATGGTCATTTCTCTGTAATTTTGTTTCCTGTACATTTTTTTTTTCCAGGAAAATTCTTCCCAACAAAAATTAAACATTATATTGAAATTAATTCGATTATGTTGTAGGTTTTTAAAGGTATCTTGAAGTTAACCTATTTATATACTATTTATATTCAGCTAGAAAGATGTAACTGATCTCTTTCATTTTTAGCATCCTAGGACAATTGCGGAACTTCCTTAGAAGTTTATAGATTTTTTTCAATAGAAATTTAAGACGCTTGAGATATAAGCAGAATTTAAATCCTCCCGTTAAAAAACTGTTTACAACTTTGAAATCAATCGAAAAATTCTTTCTTAACGTTTGCCTAAAAGCCTCTGGCCTCATGTTTAATTTTGTACACTAGTTTGAAGGCAAAAATGGCAGCAACATAACTTGCTGCACATAATGGGGGTGGAATTTAATCCTAAACTGTGCTATGCCAATACATTTGTTTTGGTTGACGTACGAATAGCGGAAGAGTTCAACCAAAATATCTCCTACGTGAAAGGCCTTTTCTTAAACAAGGCTTTAGTGAAAGAAACTGACTTAGATGACAGTACAGTCCAACACACCAAAAAAACTGGCTTTACGTTGCGAACGTGCACCGAGGGTTTTTTGAATATATTCTCTTTACCTGACTTACTGCGTAGTTGTTCCCTGACTTTTTTTCGACACAGATCTTTTGTACGCCAGTACTCTTATCCAAGGTAAGGCTCTTGCCAGTTTATAAGAGAAGTACAACTACAAATTCCAGTTCTTCTATCCATCCTCTATTCAGTTTCATTGAGAAAGCCCATATTGCTTGGTAATATATTCAAAACCTTTGAACTGCTTTCACACAATGTCACCTGCACTTCGCCACTTGGGAGTACTGAGGATAAAAATATTTAAATATAATCCGCTAGGGTGGTATCATTTGCAACATACTCATGTAGCTAGCCGTCGAAATTGCTCGCAGGAATTTGTTATTATTTTGAACTTAAAAACAAATAAAAAAAATCCAAAATTAGACAGTCGCCAGCGTAATGTATACAAGAATGTGCACAGAGACATTTCAAATTTGCCGAGTTTTCACACTAGAAGAGTCCAGAGAAAATGAACCATCTGCACCGACAAGTTCTCCCACGACTTGAGAGTCTTTTTACATGACGTCACGTTCGCCATATTGGTGTTTCAAAACATTAAAGTGGCGGCCATGTTGGTGTTCCAAACCAATTCTGTGGGAGTTGAGCTAATTTCTCACGTGAACGTATGCCGATATCTCAAACGTTTTTATACCTACAAGAAAATAAATAACAGTTTCTTAAAGTTCGACCATTCTTTATTAAGGATGCCAAAAAATAATAGAAATTGGTCAAATCTTTGCTGCCGAAAAACGCGATTGAAAAACATAACCAACCCGCAGATAAATAGGTTCGGGCCACCTTAAAAGAGGCCGAACGAAAATTGCATTTTTATGATATTGATAACATACGAAGGTATTTTCAAAACAATTACGTTCCAAAATGCCTCGAGTGATGGATTTATTTTAACAACTGGCTCTCCAGTTTCAATATTGCGGCCAAGATTAATTACGTAGACAAACCAATGTATTAGAGTTTTTATTTAGTATTTTATCTTTTAGTGTTTAATGCAGGCCTAGGAATGATGGAAGGAACAGCTCTCTCTTTTGCCTTATCTCTGTAGAGTCTGTGGAGTAAAAAACGTTTTACAAAATTCATGTTATTCGCCCTAATACTTTTGCAAAAAAGGCATCACCTTAGTACCTTAGAAAAGCCTCCTTAATCGTTTTTTACTGCAAAATTATTTATTTACATAGATCGACAGCTGACCAAATAATTTTTGGGGTCAATGATGTCAATGACAGTGCTGAATCACGTTTAGTGTTTTTAAAATATTGTTAACAGTTTAAGCTAACGCTCAAAACACGCAAAGTCCTTCAAAGCTACGATCCTGCTGGTCTCGTTCAGGTATGGACAGTGTTTCTTACAATGACAAAGAAATTAACTATTTAGTTTTTATTAGCAAGTTTGTTCGGAATCCTTTTTTTTGTCTCTATTGCAAGGTTGCGCTTGATGACGGTTTCGGTATCCTTTTCTTTTCTCAAATTTTATTTTTTATGACAGAAATGTGGTTTCTTTCTCGGGTTTCCATGCACGAAGGAGTTTTCACGAACGACTATTTATCAGAAGATTTTTTCGGAATTCTTTTTTGTGACTATTGCAAGGTTGAGCTTGATGACGGTTTATTATTTTATTGTAGTTTTTTTTAAAATTCAATTTTTGTTTAACAGAAATGTAATTTCTTTCTCAAGTTTCCATGCAGCAATACTGACGTTCCTCATTTATCAGACTGCTCGTAGATCAGCAGAGGCAACCAAACGTATATTTTAGCATTTCGATTTTGAAATACCCGTGGCCTTTGGTGTCCATCAAAAACTGATAGGGTCACATTAAAGAAATAATATATAGATTTAGTCAAGGCTAAAAGCGAAGTCTCCGTTTCTATACTTATGATAAAAGCAATCAAATTAAAGTAATAACATGAACTCTAAGCCACAAAAAAATAGAAAGAAATCTTCCCATCTCTAAGAGCCTTCCGCGTCAGACACCTTTAGATGGAGGGGCTAAATGATTAAGAAAAAATATCCTGCAAACAAACCTGGATTGAAAAAAAATGTTAAATTGTAGGTTTCTTAAAAGAGCTGTGTCACGAAATTCAGCCAAATTAGGTTATTGCAAAATACTCGTTGAATTAAAAGAAACATAAAAATAACCGCTTAAAACGTTAAAGGAAGGTTAAATAACGCAGCAGATACAAGAGCTGCCACGGATGGGCAAAACTGAAGAATATTGAAACGGATTGAAATTGGGGTTTTTGAAAACTGTTCTGCCTAACTGACAGTTTTTCAAAGTTTACCTCTGCTGTTTGCAGCTTCAAAAATAACGCTCAGGGGACATATTTGTTTGTCTCTAATCTCTGATTTTGTCATTTACATGTAATTTCTTTGCCTACTTTCAGTTCCATAGCGATTGAGGGCGAGTAATTGGCAAAATAAAACAAAATGAAGTGGACTGCCGTTGCTTGTCGTAATTTTTTTGGCGCACCTTTATTTGGCATTTATATGATTGTTTGTTTGCTGAGTTCAGCATTTTGCTGGTCAAGTTCTAGATTTTAGGCGCGCTTTTCATCAAACTACTAGTTATCACAGTCAAATGTGAGTCACAGGAAAGCTTTCTTGAATTGTATATTCTTCATCCTTTTGGTCCTTTTGTGTAGTTTTTCAGTATAAAAGAGAAAAGATAACAAAAGGTGACTGCAGCCAGTGAAGTATGTTTGACATCCCAGTTGCGTTATATGCCGTATTGTTGATCATAAGTACAACGTAAGCATATTTTTTTAAAACTTTTTACTGAAAGTTTTATTTCTTTTGCAGTCTGTCCAACATGTTTTCTGCGATATTCATCGTTTTTGCTATGGGTTTAGTTTCTGTTGAAAGCAGTACTGTTCAATCTGCTTTTGAAGTTGCCATGAGGTGCACTAAAAAAGCATGGCAAGCGGACGTGGATGCTCTGGCATCAGGCCCTGTCACCGAGGAAGAGATCCTTGAAGATGCTTGCATTTACCTAAGGGTAAGAATTACAGAGTATTTATATATCACCAGTATACATCAGCTTGTCTTGCGGTATTTTCTTTCATTCCTCAAAAGAAGAACAACAACAAAAAATAAAAACCTTTGATGGCGTTAGAACTTACAGCCGGTGGACAAGGCGTGGAGGTAATTGAGAAGCTGTAAGAGGGTCAGAGTGGATTTGTAGCTTTGACGGCTGACGGTTAATTTTCCGTCAGTTCAATTTTGACAGTGGACGGCTAAACTTTAGGGCTTTTGACGGTTATTTAGTGAAAATTTAGTTCACGAGTTAAAGTAAATATTAATTATAACTTCTGTAGAAATTAATATTTAAGTATTGTGTTTTGGAGGTTGCTTTGAACCGTTCACGTATAAAATTTCCAAATATTTTAAGAAATAGGAAAATTGTAAGGTCTTGTAATGTTCAGAGACAATTTTTTTTTATGTAACATGGCCAGTGGATTTCCAAGTGAAGAGATTCTTCAGGAGCCAAAAGCCTGTGAAGATCAGCTGAAATAGTGAGACTTGAAATACCTTGAAACGTTTTGACGGTTAATATTACTCTCAATTTTAGGCCGTTTTACGGCTGACTTTTGACCCCATTGAACCTTTCCCTAAAGGTCGCAGCAGTAAAAGAACTCGCTTCTGGCCGTGTGTAACTGAACCTACTTTCTCAATAGTAAATTACATATATCGCGCCTTAATTTTTAACCAGTTTTATTAGCTAAAAAGTTAGTTACGACTGACACTGCTTAGCCCAGTCTGAGTACACAAACTGGTTTTGCTCAGGAGAACTTTTTGAAAAGGTTACGTTTTCTGTCACTGTACTGTGGGAAGCGGGCTCCAAACCATAATAACAATGTTAAAAAAATACACCACGGAGTTATTTGTTGCCACAATATCAATGGTTTGAAAACGTAAAAATGATAATGGAAGTTCTCGATGGCATTGATATCCTTTCATTACTCTTCATGAAGACTCAGTAAATTTGAGCAAATATATTAAGAAGCCACTATGTTCGATAAGCTCTTAACCTTTTCTATACTTTAACGCTTACTAAACTTTTTTATTATTATTATTATTATTATTATTATTGACAGGAGTTTGCACGTTGCATTGTGAATACAGACCCCTCTAAATACGCCTCACCCAACCCCAATATCGTCCACCTCTTGGCCGCTTACGAATGGCAGCATCTGTACATAGCAGAGATGGCTGGAATTTGTGCCAACATGCCGACAGAAAAGCTAAAGAAGATCGCATTGGATCACGGTATGCTTCAAGGGAGGGGCAAAAGGCGGGTGGGTGTGTGTGGCTGGAATCCCTCTTGAGTTTTTGATATGTTGTGTGAGGCCTTTAGTATTGTGGATTACGGCGCTGCTGGGGTGGAGGGGGGGGCGAGGATTTTGGGCTAAACTAGGTGAAATTTAGCCGATCCCCCCTTTGACTGTTTCTTCAGTGAAGTGATCCCCCCTAATAACTTTTGATGACTTTCGCGATCCCCCCACCATGCCTTCATTTTCTAAGCAAATTTGAGTGGTTCCCCCCTCCGAATCCTTCCAAATTTTTCAGCGATCCCCCCTCTTGGGTTCTCAGTTACGACTGATTCCCCCTTTTGTTCTCCCAAAAATCAAGTGCCCCCCCCCCCCTCCTCCCCCACCCCTCCCACAGGCGATGAATAATGACCGGTCCCTAATATACTTTTATTTCCCAAAAGTTTATGTCTAGTTAGTATAGAAACTGAGCACATATTTATGCTTTAGGTCTAAAATAGGCTATCATTTAACATTTTTCTCTTTTAACATGTTATTGCCTTACACCTTTTTTAGACAAAAATGCAAACTTGCTTTTCTGTTGGCCCCAGTTTTCATCACTTTCAATGTCATATATCGTAACTACCCCTGACTACCTTCAACCTCGTCCCCAGGGCTTTTCCCTTAAAAAATGGGTGGGGCGAGAAAAGGCCCTGGCATCGGCTGGTCACGTGTCCCCTCGTACACCCTAAAATCCTGGGCGTAATAAATTAGCGCTATGTGAAAAGCTAAAATTATGCGTAACCTCACAGCGCGCGATCTTGGGCGGCCTTTTATATCTCTTGACGATTAACGAAAAGTTTTACAAGATTTCTTTTTTGTCACAGATACTGGCTATGGTAATTTTTTGCTTTCCTCCGATTTCTATGAAGGGGACAGCGAGCGATAACATTTGTAAAACTTCCTTTATAGAGCGATATAAATGACAAACAAGCTATCGTACATGCATAAAGTTTGTACTGCAAAAGCCCGTTTTCTCGACTCTTGATATTTTATTTTATTTCTTGCGAAGTGGACCGCCGTACACAACCTAGTTCTATTCAACTTAACTCTCAGCCATATCATAGCGTCACACGTTGGTTTAGACTTACCTTGTATGACCTGTCTTTTTAAAAAATCATTGACCTCTGCGAGACTTGACCGAAACCGGAAACCGCGCATGAAAAGTTTCTGGCACCCAGGGTATCAAACGACTGGTAACAAAGAAAGACTTGGGTCCATTTAAAATTGACAGAGCTGTAGTTGATTCCAATCGATCGGTCAATCTTCCCTTTGATATAAGGAAAATCCTTTGTACTTATCCTCGGAAGAGAAAAGATATAAGAGATCTTAAAATGTTGCAGATCGGCGACCTGTCATCGTTCCTGGCTGGAGGGCTGACTTGCATCCGGCGCGGAGATTTGTTTGTTTCATGGTCGGGTTGTAGAGAAGACCAGACTCCATCATAAAGTATTTTGATGAACAATTCTATTTCAATTAAGTCCAATTTGTTTAAATTCACTGCAGATCCTAGAGGCAAAGGCCCGCATTTTTGTTTGACATTGGACAAAATCACTTTCTGCTTGATCGTACAGTAATTCCACAGTCACGATGAATTTCAGTCGAAGTACTACTCGATAACAGCTTGTCTCAACTCTGAAGCATTTGACATATTTTGTACGTGACAACGTAGAGCCGGTCCTTGTAGCATTTGAATAATACGCAATTAAATGGATCTTAAGCTTTTGAATCGCACAGACGCGAAAATATTGACATACAGTTCGCGATATTATTATTTTTCATTGTTGCTCCGTTCGACTTCTGTCAGCGCAAAACCAGCGGGTTGCATGTAAATTAGCTTCTCAGGAATATTTAGGCTGTGCACGTGACCAGCCGATGCCAGGGCCTTTTCCCGCCCCACCCATTTAAGGGAAAAGCCCTGGGGACGAGGTTGGACTACCTTCTCTTTTAACGTCGGGAGGGGTTTAAACCAAAGATCTATTTTGATGCCAAATAATTTCTCTTTTTTAAGGTGTAATGGAGAAAGAAAATTTGAAGAATGTTGGTAAGAAGTTTCATTTTTACATAGGACAGTGAATCTTGATAGGATGTAGCGCATATCTAAACATTAGGCATCAAGTGATTGATTCAGATTCTGACTCGCTCCAACCAGCCGAACCACCCGAACTGCGAAAGATTTAGTGGACGCTTACGGGAGGTGGTCGCTAACGAGACTCGAACCAGAGGTAGTCTCTTCCGAGAAGAGGTTCCGACACATCTACTTCGTGTCAGAGAAATCATTGCATGCGGTTTCTAAGTCCCGTAAACGAGTTAGTTTTGTGTTAGTTTTTTCGTGTACTCTGATGCAGAGGTTCGACCGTAGTCATGCAATGCTTTCTCTTCGTATACCCCGAATATCCCACTACTGATTTGAATGTTTTATAGATAAAACTGTGAACACTGAGAAAAATCAAGTTACTCCTAGGATATATTTCACGGTATGCCACTCGAAATTATTGCACAACTACAATCCTGGACAAAAGTCCTTGGGACAGTAATGCAGTATTCGCAAATTTTTGTAAATTCAGGGTACCCTCGTAAAGAAGTGCAACCTTTCTGAAAATATATTGCAGTTCTCTTTCCCCTCCATTATTGTAGCAAGTGCTTGGCCTTCAATGTGTATATATGTATATATATTTTATCTGATTCCAGAGAAGGACGAATGGCATGATTGCGTTGGACTTACGATGCGCAAATGCACGTTGCTATCTGAAAACCTGATAAAGGAAGCTAAATCGATGGATTTCGTCTCCGCAACGACCGAGTACGTCAACTGTTTTAAAAAGGCAGACAAGTACAAGTGTCCGGCAAAAATGCTGGATCACTATATTCACACTATGGATGTTTATTATCAACACCTGGAGGAAGACAAAAAGATGATATTGCCCATTATCGGCTGATCACAAGATGTCGTTTACATAGATGGTTTTCACTGTGACGTCATCAAATTGTAAAGTCAGAATACCGAGGTTTTACGAATTCGTATTTGCATTAGGTTGAAAATAAACAAAAAGTAAATCTTTGTACAAGTTTCCATTTCCGTAGCATGTTTTATTTCGAAAATACCTCAATTTGAACTTCCGAGTTTTCACAGTGCGTGACACCAAAATAGGAATGATGTCTCGTTGAAAAAAGGTCTCTCCTCTTGATTTTCAGCAGTATAACCACTTCAAGTATTAGAATATATTTTTATGCGTACGTACGCTAGTTCTCGAGTGAAAAGAAAGAGATTTATAGAAAAAGTAAACTCCAGATGTTTTTGTTGATTTCCGGCGGCCATATTGGCGCACCAAAACGGTGTACCAATATGGCGTCTCCATACAAAGCTCTACAAAGGTGCATGAAACGTTTCGCCAAATAACTCTGAAACTATGGGCCAAAAAGACCTGAGACTTTGGAAAAATTGTTTATATATTAGTCTTTTATAACGTTTCATTTTCTTGGTTTCTTCCACTGGACGGTTTCCAATCTAATTTTTTGTTGCGTGACAATGAAAACGATCTATAACATGACATGCGATTAGCGCTAACAAATAGGTACTGAGCCTCGCAAAGAGCTTTCAAAATATGCTTATAAAGAATGAATAAGCCGTGATGAGCATTAAAGATTTTTTTAGCTTGAGAAAACAGCCGACATTTCAGAACGCCACCACTGGTTTCCCTGCGAAATGACGTCTGAGGACGAACGCGGTAATTCCACACTGATGACATCACACGAATACCACCCAGATCTAGGTAGTGTTTCTGATTGGCTGAAACTTTGCCTCAATCAATCAAAAGCACTACCCAAATCTGCTTAGTATCACTTTCTCAGTGTGAAATTTTTTTGCTCGTTCCTCAGACTCCTTTTTCAGTGGTGGTGTGTCGCGAAATGTCAACTGTTTTCTCTGGCTGTAATAAGTTATATTGGTGTTTAAAAAGCTATGGATTAAAGAATAAACAAAATAACGGTGATGGGCTATTATAATCATTATAGAATTGCTGTTAAATCAAGAAATGAATTAAAGAACCAAATAAATTGTAGAAATCAGTGTTTGCAGTTACTTCGTCATTTATTCTTCACCAACTGTGCCTCCTCGATGGTCTTAATTTGTACGTACAGGCATACAATCCTTAGCTCTATTCTCTCCAATAAGACAATTGCACGATGACGATATTTGACTACAACTACCAGAATTCATTTCGGTTTTGCTTTGTTATTTAAATTTGTCAATGCCGCTAAGGATTAAAGAACAATAGCCTTAATTTGCACAAGAAAACAACAAACTTAAGGATTCTGGTAGTTATAGTAAAATGGCGTCATCGTGCAATTGTCCTATTACTTTGAAAGAAAGAAAGAAAAAACTAACGAACAACAAACAAACAAACAAAAACAAAACCATTTGCGTAATTCAGTCTTTTTTACAACCTGGATGTTGTTTAATGTCAGGGACAAACTACATAAAGCCCAGAATCTGAAGTTTTTTTTTTTTTTTCTACTCAGAAACCTTCTCCTTGGTATTGATGCAAAAACGTGCTTTTACTTTTGTTATGCTGTTACCATGCGTAGTTTTTCGAACAGAGAGAGCAGAGATCAATCATCTACAGTCCTTCATACTCAGTTTTTATTGATCATAATTTATCTCTTGATTCTGTCCACTTGCCATTCCACAGGTAGTGGTAGAACATATCAATTGTTTCTTTTATAGCGTGATAACTAGCGAATCCGAACGAGATGAAATAAGCACAATGAACTTTGAAGAAGCGCAAATTCACTTTTTAAGTAACGTTTTCATAACTTTTCCTCTATTGTTGTTCGTTAAGCACCCTCATAACGGATTTTACGTACCACATCCTGACCGAAGAAAGGCGATATGGTTTTCGGAGAGGCCAGTTAACTGGTTAGTC